GAACAGCTTGTTTTTGACAGAGGATGAACTGAGGAGCTGCATAAAAGACAGTATGAGACAAATAAGATTTTGTTTTAATCTGTCAATCATGCAAAGCTACTCTGAGTCACTGGATAAAAATATAGAGCTGGAAATCAGCTTAATAGGTGCCCTTTTAATCAGTACATAGAAACGACAAATTGGATGTCAAAATGAATAGTAAAAACATTGTTCTGTCAGTTGAAGCATGGAGGATGAAGCTTTAAAATAATATTTTTTTGTGATATTTGCTGAAATTTTTACTATATCCTGGCAGTAGTACATGAGGCATATTATCTGTGAATAACGCAGGTTCCTCTGGCTCCATCTAGTTCTCCTAATGGCATTTGTAAGAATCCACCTTGCCTGAACAAAAACAATCAATTAGAGCTGAGAAAGATAGTTGGTTCTCATTATTAGACACTCTGGGACCCTGGGAATGAGATTCAGTCGTTGCTCTGATTGGTCGCTTGCGTCTGGGCTAGGTGGATTCCTGTAAATGTAATTAGGAGCACTAGTAGGAGCCAGAGGAACCTGATTTATTCACAGATTATCTGTTTCATGTACTACTGTCAGGTTATTTTTTATAAACTTTACGTACTGCAGCTTTAAGCAAGCTGTAATCCCTGCCCAACCCTTTTCAGATGTATGGAAATGATTGTTGCTGCTCATATTTTTAGAAACCAAGTGTGTAGAAATCATCTGTTATAATCAATATATCAAATTATCTGGTTATTGTCTCACCTACTGAAAAAGACTTAAGCAGAATTTAGACCTTCTTCACCAGTACTGTACAGTACAGTAACTTTGAGGACAAAAAACAAAACCTTTCTTTCTTTTTCCAAAAAAGGTCAAAACTGAGAATTTAAATGAACCTGTAACTGAACAACAACAAACTAAAACCTATACTCTAGATTTGAAAACCACTCCCACAGGAAACTTCCGCTCTGCCGAGAAGGAACTTAAGGCTAAAAAAATACAGGCTTACTTTTAAGATTCTGAGAAGGACATGGCGAATGTAAATGTTCTTGAACCAGTTGCACTGTATTGTACTGAGGTGTGTGGCTCCTTATTACAAAGGAAGCAGAAATCTAACTAAAAATCAAATGTAATGTAATGTTAATGTGATGTTGTACAAAGAAAACATTACTTTAATTATAATAATAAGAACATTATATTAATTCAGGGTTGAATTAGGTCAATATTCTTTACTTTTAATTACCTATAAAATATTTATCAAAATCCATAGCCATATTAACAAAATATACCCTGCCTGTTGCCTTAGCCTACTGGCACTGAGGTAGTATATGTATATGGCTCTATATTTGAGACTAACAGATGTTTTATTGTTGCAATATCTTATTATCGATAGGATTAACTGTCGTATTAGTACTGTTATTAGCTTTTTGATCATAGCTTTAATTTTACTAATTTTAATAAGTTTTATTTAAATCTATACATTATTGTAGGCTACTTGTACAAAACACGTAAAACACCATGTCAGTTATGCTTATTAAAAAGGAGGATATAGAAACCTGAAGTACCATGCAAATACAAGTTGAAGGACGTGTACATAAAAAAAAACTACAGAGAAACCACAGGATGTGCGCAGCTCATCCTGGTGTGTCATGAAAATGGAAGATAGCATCAGTAGTTCTAGCAACTTCACAAATAGGAGTGGCCAAGCGCTATGGAAGATAAGTGATATCAAGCCATAATTAGCAAAAAATAAAAAACAAACAAACGTCAGCATGTGCCTGCAATTATGTCCCTGCAATATTAATTCAACTATAGAGTCGGTTCTATAGAGTCGGTTCTACAGAGTAGGAGCGATTATATTATTTGTTTTGCCAAATGTGTCTACAGTGTGTTTTTTGTGGTGTAGATAGCCCACTTGCAACAGTGTAAATTCTCTGTAAGCTGTGTGGTGATGAATATCAATGTGTGTGTATTTGTGTGTCTTATTGTGTGGCAGATGTGGGTGAACCGGCATCAGCTGTGTCCACCAGCTGTAGCCTCCCAAGACTACAATGGGCCCCTCCTCAGGAGGTCCCCTTATGGGACATTAGCAACTGTTCCCTTGAAGAAGGACAAATCCTCATTTCTCCAGAGGAAGAGGTACCAATACACACATAAAACACTAAAAAGAGAACAAACAGTTGAAAAACCTCAGAGTTGGTTTATTTTGAGTGACAAAATGTTGTATTTCTCAGCCAATTATCTGGACCCGAAACCGTGTCAGCAGTTGCCTGTCCAACCTCAGCATGCAGAACCTCGTGGATATCGACACAGGTTAATACACCCACCCACAAACACACACATATTTGTGTAAATTAAGCAAAATAAAGAAAAGACTGATGTATTTCAAAATGCATCAGTATAATCAGCATTAACAGCTACTGACATCACAGAATGATTCTGCAGACAGTCAATCGCACGCATAAACATTCAGCTATTTCCTCTGTGACTGTCAGATTACTTCCTCTACATTCTTTGGGGAAGATAACATCACGCCTGGGTGTTCTAGCCGTCCAATGACAGCTCATAGGGAGAGAGAGAGAGAGAGAGAGAGAGACGGCATAGTCAGTATCTGCTTCCATTCAATACTGGTGTAATTCGCAGAAGAAGCTGTGATGCTACACTGTAGAAGTGACTGATCCTGTATTGATTTTGGCTGGTTGCCTCGGTGTCACCATCAATGAAGAGAGAAGGGCAAATATTAAAAGGGACAGAGATCCAAGTAACAAGATTGTGGCATACCTCTGGATTAAATGATGGGATTTCGACGCTGGTTTGTTTGTGGTGGGGCTTTGGGTAAGCAAAAAAGAATCTGGCAGTACTCCACATTGTAAACTTCTAAATTCACATCTTTGATTTTAAAAATATCTTTCCTTTTCTTTAAAACTGAAGGGTCAAAAATTACACTGAAGAGATAAATTAGGGGAAATCATGTCAGAATGTGATTTTTTAATTATATCCTTTGCAAAGCTTTAAACGGGTTTCAATAATAAGAATGGCTGCTAGTGAAGAATACACACTAAAAACCACATCCTGAAAGCAAGTATTTCCTAATATCACAGCCCTAACTAATGTTTTCAGTGTTCAGTCTGTCATCTGTGGAGGTGCAGAAATGAGTGCTTTGGAGCAGTGACGAGACTGAATATAAATATACATATATTATAATAATTATAATTTTGACCACAAATCCTAAATGGAAAGAAATCATATTTCTATGTATAGAATTGTCGTGTGTTACAATTTTGAAAAACACTGTTGATATCAAAGTGTCACTTTTTCCTGATACTAGAATGTAGCCCTGACCACACAGGCCTGCCGGGTGGTCCTCGACCAAAGAACCAAGATGGTGGTGTGAGGGTGAATATTTTACACACCACAGATAACAATCTTTCCCTGCATTTCCTGTTGATATAATACATAATTGCCCTCATACGCCATGCTTGCCTTCTTCACCCTTAGGCACTGATCAAGCGACGTTTCGAGAACAAGGCCAAGAGGAATAGCAATATCCAACTTAATGCAGGACTAAAAGGAAACAGGTAAAGTTTTAACGCGATGTCTGTGCTTGCAAAAACAGTGAAGTCCATAAGTATTTGGACATTCAAACATTTTTGTTGTGCTCCAAAACATCAGATTTTAAGTGAAACAACATATGAAAATGAGGTTTAAGTGCAGCCATAAAGTTTTAATTTATGGTTGTTTACGACAATGTTGGGTTAACAAGAAAATAACACTCATTGTCTTCCTGCACTGTTCAAAACTTGGGTGGGGCTGTATAACAAAAGTCTTTATTGAACTTACCACAATGACAAGGGGAATAAAAGAATCAATACATATATCACACGTATATAGAGTACCTTCATAGTGGTTGCAGTCTGTGAAGGTTTTACAGAGTGCTAGTCTCCCATGAGCATAACAATGAGTAGTAAAAAGGTTAAAGCTAATTTTATTAACCTTGAATCATTGTATTTGATTTATTAGATGAATTACTATTTCTATAATTTCAAGTGACTGACTTTTTCTACTCTGTTTATTTCTAAGGCACTATGGTTCCCGGGAGTCTGTGTCAATTCCAGTCAGTGTAGTGGGCAGTCTAGATCTGAGTGCGGACACCAGCACTGTCATAAGGCCGGTCCACAGCTCCATTTTGGGGGAGAAGTACTGCTTTGAGGTACACTTTGACATGTGCATTCTATGACGCTACCCCAGACTCCTCAAGGAGCATCATACATTGTCCTTCATTGTGGCCAAAAAACAAGAAACTTCCTTTCCCAGTGAGGCTAACATGATTCTGTTGGTTTCAATGTTCTTATAGGTGATAAACTCTGAGAACACCCATTGCTTTGGCTGCTCCTCAGCTGCCGAACGTGACCGCTGGATTGAAGACCTGAGACGGGTTGCCCAGCCCAATAAGGTAAACCATTAGTCATTTGTTAAAAAAGAAATATGTCACGTAAAATCAAATGGCCAACAACAGATGAGCTAACTGCCTCGTTGTTCACAGGATAACATCGAGCGCACTGAGAACTCCCTGAGTCTGTGGGTAAATGAAGCTAAGGATCTGCCACCTAAACGGTGTTATTACTGCGAGATACACCTGGATGGAACTCTGTTTGCCCGCACTAGCAGCCGAGCAGTCGGCAAGCCGTCGAACCGCTCCAGCCTGGCAGGGGACAACTCTACTGGGTCTTCAGGAGGCCAAGGGGCCAGTGGAGGTGTAGTCGGAGGGTGTCAGTTATTCTGGGGTGAATTGTTTGAGCTAGACAACCTTCCCTGCGTCTCCCAAATCACCCTGCACATCTTCCGCGAAGAGGACCCAAAGAAAAAGCGTCACTCCCGAGACGAGTCCAGCCTGCACCCACTGGGCAGCGTGGCCATATCTTTAGCTGAGATCCGAGGGAGGACCTATCAGGAGAAGTGGTATCCCATCATTCCATACAAGGCATCAGGCACAGCAGGGAACAAAGAACTGCTGGGCCCACAGGCTTCACTCCGCATCAAGGCCCGTTTCCAGAATTTGCAAGTGCTTCCCATGGAGAAATACAAAGAGTTTGCTGAATATGTGACAGTGGATTACGTGGAAATGTGCCAAAACCTGGAGCCACTTCTGAATGTGAAGGAGAAGGAAGAGCTGGCAGGAGCTCTGGTCCACGTACTTCAGAGCATTGGCAAAGCTAAGGTTCTTACAGAAAATGCATATAACTGATAAAAATTATTATTCATATTTTTAAAATCCCACAATGAGGAAAATACAACTAAAACAATTTGATTTAAAAATAACACAACAAAAAGCAATAACCAGATATATGTTTTCTTAATTGAATTTGTGTGCTTCAGGAGTTCCTCATTGACTTGGGCAGTGCAGAGGTGGAGCGTCTTGGAGAGAAGGAGGCACTGATCTTCAGAGAGAACACACTGGCCACTAAAGCCATAGATGATTATATGAAGCTGGTTGGCCAGAAGTACCTCATTGACACACTGGGTAGGGCAGTTCAGTGATAAAGGTGGCTTCTTGTAATTAGTATTGGTTGACGCTTTGTTTTCACTGAACTCTGTGCTTTCTTTTTCACTGCAGGGGACTTCATCACCCGTCTCTATGCCTCGGTGGAGAACTGTGAAGTTGACCCTCGTAAATGCACTGCGTCTGAACTACCAAACAACCAGAAGCACTTGATGGAAACCTGTGAGGAGGTTGTGCAAAAGATTATTAAGATCCATGGGTGAGAAAACAAGGTCATCATAGAAAAATACATGAAATAACAAATATTTAATGCTTAGGCCTTTAGTAGTATTCAAGCTGATTAAAAAGTCGCATTTACAAATTTTACATGTTTTTCACCTTCAGACCCTTTCCTGAGGAGTTAAACAAGATTTTCTCCAGTTGGACGGAGCTGTGTGAAGACCAGGGCAGACCAGAGATTGGCCAGCGTCTCATCTCTGCTTCCCTCTTCCTTCGCTTCTTATGTCCTGCTATCCTCAGTCCTTCTCTTTTTGGTCTGACACAGCCTTATCCAGAGCCAAACACCCTGCGTACCCTCACCTTAACAGCCAAAGTCATCCAGAATCTGGCCAATTTCACCCTGTGAGTGACCTCTCATCTGCTTAGGAAAAACAAAATATATCACTTTTGCATTTATACCTGAGCAAAACATCTGCTGACACACTGAAGACGTGTATTCTAGAAATCAGAATTAAGACATTTTAATTATTTACTTGAAGTGACTGAAATCTTTTATTCTGATCCAGGTTTGGAGAGAAGGAGGAGTACATGCTCTTTATGAACGAATTCCTGCAACAGCACTGGGATGGTATGAGGGGCTTCCTACAAACAGTATCCAATTTAGACACCGAAATCCCAATGACTTCCTTCGATGGTTATGTGGACCTGCCTCTGCGCTTGGCTGTGCTGCATGGCCTACTGGTAGACATCATCTATCAGAGGAACCAGGTATGAAAGCAAACCAGTGAAATCCAGTTTGGTAGACCACATCAGAAGGCAAAGTTTTATATCTGTTCTAAACAGCCAAACTCGATTGTGGGGTGAAAAGACGGCCGTCATAAATAGAGGCAAGGTGCAGTTATTATTTAAAGGTGGGGATAACGACTAACATTTTCAGATAGTCTATCCTTGAAGGCCTCCATAGAGTTACACTCTGTTGTAAACGTGTCTCATCTCGGCACACCTGGCTAATCCCTGTGAGTGTGAATGTTGTAAGCTTTGGAAAGTTACAGAAAGTGTCAGAGGCAAAATATGTCTGTATATTTATGTAATTTGGATATGGAGCTAGTTTTGGATGTTTGCATGTAGACGTTTTCATTTCAAGCTCAGGCACAGCTGACTACATTGTGACTGGCGTTTGCATGTACAGCTTAATGGAATTTTTCTTATTCATGGAAGGTTTCAAGGTTTTCAAGGTTTCAACTGCATGATTGAAGAGTATACTAAATGGGACCTAACATGCAGCTTGTTTCTTCTTTAGGAAACAATTGACAAGCTGGACCCTCTGCCTTCAATTCTGAATCAGATAACAGAGTCGCTGGGCCCTGAAGCACCTCGGATCATGGTTAGCAGGTATGGTTTATATCTTAGTTGACTTGTCAGCAACTTGTGATATATTACAAACTTGAACATGGTGGTGTTTCATGTTACTTAACCAAGCGCTTTCTTGCAGCCAAATGGGACAAGCCCGGCCAGCATACATTCCTCCTAAAGACTTGGGCAAGTACAGCCCTCACCAATCATCCCTCCAGCAGCTTCCCGTAGACTCCAAAGGCCTACGAGACACGTATGATATTTGTATTTCTGTTACTGGGCTAAGTTTTTAGATGTCATTTATAAAAATGTTATGTATGACATGAATACATTCATTTATTCATTTAACAGGGATGTCAAGCCTCGCAGGAGTATGAGAGAGAGGAAGCCAGTAGCCCGAACTCAGAGTGCTCCACACAGACGTCCTGGTCATGCAAAACATGCCTTGAAGAGGCAAATAAGTTCCGAAACTCTGCCAACAGCTGACCATGAACAGGAGATGGAGACCAACGAGCCACTTATCTCGTCACCAAAAACTGTGAGTACAAAGAGCAGCTGTGAGCCAAGCTCGGCTACTTTGGCTACTGGCCTCAGCACATCATCTGCTGATGCCACTGCAATAAATATTTCACCTGTTTTTAGTAGACTGTCTTGTAATATTGCACTTTTTTGCAATATATAAACAAAATTTTTGACATGTATGTTAACACAGAGATAGTATGACTTTGTGTGGTTAATTAGAAGGAATCATGTATACATACTATACATCTTGTTTCAGAGCACCACAATCAAACGTCCACCTGCACCAGTTCCCTGGATCAAGCCTGACTGCCCCAACAGGGAGCCAAGTGAGATAAAGACTGAGAATGAGCAGTTCAGCTTACTGGATAGGGTATGTCAAACCTCCTACCCATTGAAGTGGCATAAATCTGTCCGTATATGGTATGACTTAATTATTAAATTTCATAAAATGTCAATTTGTAATTCACATACCAGCATGTTCAAGAGCTATCAGAGCTTCGTCTGGGAATAGAGCAGGTGACAGAGCGTGAGCTGGACATGGCAAAGCGCCTGGAGGACTTCATTATCCAAAGCCAGGACCAGAATGCAGTGCTGCAGGCTGAGGTGCAAGAGCTCCAGAATCTGCTGGCTTTGCGAGAAGAACAGCTCGCCAGTGCCACCTTCAGGTAAGATAGTAGAGTTACACAGTAATGTGCATGTTCTATTCATCAGCAAGTGTATTCAGTTTCCAAACCAAATATATTTAATTTTGCCTGCGTTTGTGTGTTTTTTAATGAATATCTATATTCAGTCTGCAAAGTCTGTGTATTGCACACTTTATAACTTTAATTGATCTCATAAAGATTAATGACACTGTTGATGCTTCATTTGGATTGGGTGTAGAAAGCAGTAGGCTAGGCGGTGTTCTAATAATTGTTATTACTAATTATCAGTAAATGATTTATTTTTTATAAAAAAATTTAATGAGGTGTTCTACTCTTGTTTATATATGTGTCTCTCCTTCTGTGTCTGTCACAGGCTGGGTGTGATTGAGGAGGAGAGGGAGGAAGATGAGAGGAAGCTAAGTGTTGCCATTGCAGCAGCTGAGCGAATGAACGTACTGGTAAGAGAGACAGAAAAAAGCCAATTATAAAGCTTTGTTTAAAGAATAGTTCACTTTATATATCTGTCTGGCTAGAACCAACAAACACTGAACATGCTGGTGTATTTCATTGTTGTACACAGGCTAACTTGTAACTATTACAAAATTTTGCAATGCATTTAATTTCAAGTGTTTTGTAGCTGAATGTTTGCACTGTGTGTCCCGTGCAACGTTTGTGCAGTAGTGAGAGATGTTTTCTATGTTAACAGGAGGAGCAGTTTGCAGAACTGCTGAAGGACCTTAACCAGTTTAAAGAGGCCTACATAAGTGGCCAAAACAACATACAGCATCCCGAAAAGCCACACATCAACAGCAACTGAACCCTGATAGTAAAAAGTTTTAAAGTTGCAGCATCACAATTTTGTGTAAATACATATATACGTGTGAAAACCACGGACTGAAGACACAATTATGGTTTCCTGATCAGGTGTACACTTATTTTATGAACATATTCAGACTGGATGTGAGTGGGTAAAATCCAGCTGTGAACATGAAACCTACAGGATTTATCTGCATTTCAGCTTTTACTGTATCTCAGTTACAGATGTGTTTGACTTGTAAACATTTCTAATAAATAAAAGAACTACAATCTAAAGTGTTTCTGCAATCTGTTGTGTGTGACTGTAAGTGATGGAACAAGTACAAGCCTATAGCAAGTTTACTTAAGTATAGTTTTACTTAAATTGAGAATGTTGCTGCTTTATACTTCTACTCCACTACATTTCAGAGGGAAATGTATCCACTACATCTTATTGGAAGCTACAATTTCTTTGTAGATTAAGATTTTACATATAAACACATGATCAATCAACTTATATTCACTAAATGACACTATCCAGCAGTCTATGTGGCAACCTAAGTAGTTAAAATGAACTACCTCCATCATCAACAAAGATCCTGCCAATTAATTTGATATCCCCATTAATTTCTTTTTTCGATTTCCAAAAACAATAAAAGATTTTAGTTTTCTTAATATCGAGAGATAGTTTATCAACATCAAGCCAAGTTTTGAGAATTTCCAGCTCCCTTTCAATAGCATACAAAAGTTTGTCCAATTTTTTCCCAGAGCAAAATTAATTTGTAGCTTCAGCAAAAATGACAAATTTTAACAATTCAGTAACATTGCAAAGATCATTAATATAAAGTAGAAAACGTTTTAAACCAATAACCAATCTCAAAGGTACCCCATATGTTACCATCCTAAATCCTGACAGCGTCATTCATTTGCACACATTGCTGTGTATTTTCCAAATAGCTTTTCAGCCAAGAGTTACCTCTTATCCCATATATTTTTTCTCTATAACTGGAAATGATCTATAGCAGGGGTCCCCTAACTTTTTCATTAAGGACAACCATAATAGATTACTATTAGACTAACCCAATTTGAGAGGATTTTGTCTGAAGGAATCTACTCTGACAAATTGTTAAAAGGTTTGAAGATAATAAAGTCTTCATACTCAATCAATCATTAAACTAGGACCACTATAAATGATCAAAAACAGTCAACCATATATGTCTACTATCAGAATCAATGTTATCGTTTTGTGGAGTTATAAGTCCACTTTTTTTTTATACTAAATTTCATAGTTTTGACTCATTAAGTCACAAATGGATTTATTATCTCATAAGTTCAACAAGCCACGAGTGATATCTTTAATCTTATTTAGTCATTCCTGACATTTCATCTATTTTTTTTTTACTTGACGGTAAAGGGCTTCCGTACAGAGGACTGCTCACTGCTCCTCGGTTTGTTATCTGCTGCTTACGACTGAGTGTGTGACAGGACAGGAAGGGAGGGAGCAAGGAAAGAAGGAGAGCGGGAGAGAGGGAGGGACCATGACTCGTCACACTCTTGACCCGTGAACCAGAGCCGTCAACAC